GAATGAGATGTAAAAGAGTAATAGGAAAAAAGTTGCATATGAGAAGTTTTTTTCAAATGAAGTGATGCAAAGGGGGAAGATAATGGAGAAAAAAAGAGAGGTTTAAAAGAGTGTGAAGCAAAGTAAAAGAAGCAAGAGAGGTGGGGAGTGTTATCAGCAAAAATTTTTTTGAAAAAAAAAAAAAGTTTTGGGGTGAGTTAACAAGTTAAGGGAACCTAAGAAAAAGTGGATTTTTTCAGTAAAAAGGGGAAGGAGAGTTTTTAAATGGAGATTAAGGGTTTTGGGGGATGGAGGGAAAAATTTTTTTGGGCTTTTAAATGTTGATGAAATAGGGAACGTATTTTTGTGATGGGAAGGAGGAATAACTCTTGAGAAGTGAGGAAGAGCCATTGATTGTGGGGGAATTCGTGAGGCGTGGTAAAAGAAAGGGGGGAAGGGAGCCGGGATTAGGAAAAAAAAAATTTTAAAACAGGTGGGGATATATTTTTTATGGTTTGGTGCAAATTATTTAAAATGATGGAAGAAGGGAAGGGACCAGGATTGGCCGGAGCATGCATTTCCTTTTTATAAAGGGGAAAGGGGACAAAAAAAGTGCAAAAATTATAGGGGGATAATCGTTGGTAACCTGGGGAAAGTGTAAAAGGAAGTTTATTATTGAAAAAATTAAAGTAAAACGGGGGGGAAAAAGGATACGATTTAACAAGGAGGCTTTTGAAAGGGGGGGGTGGACCCGTGTTTACAGTGAAAAAACAAATGAACAGTATTTAAAAAAAGCTGGGCTTTGGGATTTAGGATTTGGGAAAAAGGGATGACAGGGTGGATAGGGGGGCAAGATGTGCGGTGTATGGTTAGGAGGTAGGGGTTTCTGAAAGCAGGGAAAAGTTTTTAAAGAGGGTTGAGGCAAAAATTAGGTATGTAGGAAAGAGGGGAAATATTTCCCAGTAAAAGTAGGCCTTAGCAAGGATTTTGATGTACCGGGGTTTTTTAAAATATTTAGATGGGGTTGTAAAGGGAATAAATGCGAGGGTTTGGCAAAGGGGGTGGAGTTTAAAAAAAAAGAATCACAAAAGTGGGAGTTTCACTTTCTCTTTGCGAGACACTGTGCTCTTGGGGGATTCTGAAGAGAAAGGCGGATTGGTGGAAAATTGGTAGGGGTTTTAAAAGAAGAAAAAAAAAAGTGAATACAGGGAAAAAGAGGTTATGAGGGTAACAAAAAGATTAGGTGATGAAAGATTGGGTATCAGATTGGAGGGAAGAGAGTATGGGGAGGGAAAATATTCAGATATTGGGAGTGGAGTTCCGCGGATGGTCTTTAAAGATGAGGTGAATCATAGAATTGATGGGGGGAAAAGGGGGGGGGCACTTAGGGTCTTGGGGACAAAAAACTTTTTCCTTTTGGGGGCAAAAAGGGAATTATGAGATTAGTTTTACCAACGCCTTAAAAGGGTGTGAAGCAGGGTGATGAATGTTGCCGAGGGAAGGGTGGGGGGCAGTGGAGATGTCATGTCGAGAGCAATGTGGGGTGAAAATTAATGCGGATTTTAGTTTGGAAGTTGGAGGAAGCGCGGGATTACCCAAAAAGTTGTTCAGAGGGCTGGGAAGGGGTTTTTGGTGGTTCAACTGTGAAGAAGGAGCAAAAAAGGGACTTCAAGAGTGTACATCTTAGTGGGAAAGGAAGGGGGGGTAGGGTCGGCCCAGGGAAAAAATTTTGGGGGGAGGGGGGAAAGGGGGTTTTGTTGCGGGGGCTTGGATTCCGCAGGGATGCTGGGCCTGTTTGTAGGATGAATGGAGCAAATGGTTTTAAAATTTGAGTACTTGGAGGGAGCAAAATAACATTTTTGAAGGGGTTTAGGAAAACCCGAGGCCGGATGACCTGGGAGGATCGTGCCGCCCTGAAGGAGGGGTGTTTAAAGTTCAGTTTAAAAAATGTTTTGTAAAGCACCCTTTTGGCAAGACAGTGAGGAAAGATGGCCCCCCGCCTTGGGGGAATTGGCTGTGTTAAAAAAAAAAAAAAAGTGACTTCTGGTTCCTTTTCCCGTTTTCGAAGTTTTACCAATATTTCCCGTTTAAGAAGGTCCCGGTGCTTTAAAAGACCCGTCCTTTCTTAAAAGGGCGATACTGAAAAAAAAAAACAATGGGGATGATTTTGGGAAAACATTGAAAATTATTTTATTTTTTCCCAACCCCTGATTTATAAGAATAAAGAAATGCTGCGGCATGCCCACTGGCCCACGCCAGGCAGGTCCAACGTATAAAATACATGATAATTAACCTGCAACCCCAATAAAATATATAATAAAAAAATCTCACAGGATCCAAGGTATTTTGGACAAAACTGTACTTTTCGAGAGTGACGAGTTGATTACATCGACTCCAGGCTGAGGGACTGATTACCTCAAACTCCTCCTGACCTCCAACCATTGTTATATTGGACTGATGAAGCCCATCTGGCAAAAACGTTCCCACAATATTTGATACCCAAGTGCTGCACACGTGTATAAATTTATTATTTTGAAAAGCCTATACCACGGTATTAATGGGAATTTAAAAAATAAAATACAATCGTAACCGTCTACTCGTGAACTTGGGAAAGTAAGTAAATGCGGTATAATGCGATCTTTTATCGACTATATTTTAGCCACACAGTGGGCTTTATAAAGCCACTGACAATGTTTTGACCACACAGTGGGCTTTATAAAGGCATTGACAATGTTTTGACCACACAGTGGGCTTTATAAAGGCATTGACAATGTTTTGACCACACAGTGGGCTTTATAAAGTCACTGACAATGTTTTGACCACACAGTGGGCTTTATAAAGGCATTGACAATGTTTTTTACCACACAGTGGGCTTTATAAAGCCACTGACAATGTTTTGACCACACAGTGGGCTTTATAAAGGCATTGACAATGTTTTGACCACACAGTGGGCTTTATAAAGGCATTGACAATGTTTTGACCACACAGTGGGCTTTATAAAGGCATTGACAATGTTTTGACCACACAGTGGGCTTTATAAAGTCACTGACAATGTTTTGACCACACAGTGGGCTTTATAAAGGCATTGACAATGCTTTGACCACACAGTGGGCATTATAAAGCCACTGACAATGTTTTGACCACACAGTGGGCTTTATAAAGGCATTGACAATGTTTTGACCACACAGTGGGCTTTATAAAGCCATTGACTATGTTTTGATCACACAGTGGGCTTTATAAAGCCACTGACAATATTTTGACCACACAGAGGGCTTTATAAAGGCATTGACTATGTTTTGACCACACAGTGGGCTTTATAAAGCCATTGACTACGTTTTGACCACACAGTGGGCTTTATAAAGGCATTGACTATGTTTTGACCACACAGTGGGCTTTATAAAGCCATTGACTACGTTTTGACCAGTGGGCTTTATAAAGCCACTATGTTTTGACCACACTGGGCTTTATAAAGCCACTGACCACGTTTTGACCACAGTGGGCTTTATAAAGCCACTGACCACGTTTCGACCACACAGTGGGCTTTATAAAGCCATTGACCACGTTTTGACCACACAGTGGGCTTTATAAAGCCATTGACCACGTTTTGACCACACAGTGGGCTTTATAAAGCCACTGACCACGTTTTGACCACACAGTGGGCTTTATAAAGGCCTACTGACCCACGTTTTGACCACACAGTGGGCTTTATAAAGCCATTTACCACGTTTTGACCACACAGTGGGCTTTATAAAGCCATTGACCACGTTTTGACCACACAGTGGGCTTTATAAAGCCAATAATGGTAAAATACCCACAAAATACCAGGTAAATGGCCATTGATGTTTGTGACTTTATAAAAGGTCTCAGTGGGCGAAACGTCGTCAATAAAAGATTCAATTAGTACTGCACTTGGAAAAATTAATTTCCCATTAATTTCAATGAATTTGATAAATTTTTGATTTTGGAAAATTAAAAAATAAAAGTTAATGCAACCAATTACGGTTTTTAGGGAGTAAGATTTAGAATTATACGTAAAACATGTGGAAATACGACACTTGTACACTCCAGGACACTCATTATATTGGAACGTTTCGCCACGTATCAAATTTTATCCTAAATTAGGATTTTGTCACTCGTGGCGAAAAGTTCCACAATGTTTACATATTTCGCCAGACAGCAGCAACCATCCACTTTTCATCACCTTCCATCCGCTAAATATCCACAATTTTCGACCACTATCCCATCTTAAAAGATGGATAAACATGTGGGGAATATCTTAAATGAGGTTTAAAGCACTTACACCTTCTTCTTGGACCCTTTTTTGCCCGATTTATTGAGCCCCTTGTTCTTCCCGACGGCCATGGCTGCGGCTGAGGAGTGAGAGGAACAATGTTGTCATTTATACTTATGGTTCTGTTTTTGACTTTATTTAAAAAAAAATAATTATTATGTGAAAAATTAGTTACATTAGTGTATTTATGGTATATTTTTATTTTAAAAATTATTATTTGAAGTGTGATTTAGGTTTGTTTTTGTGGTTGATATTTATTATATTATTTTGACAGTTAAAGATATTGAAAGTAAAATTAGATATAATTTTATTAATTGAAGTTTTTTTTCGTTTGATAAATGTTATTATTAACTAGTTTTATGATTTTATTGCTATGTAAAATTATGTTGATGTTTTGTTATCAAATTTCATTATTTCAGGAATAACTAAAGCAAAATAAAGAGAAATTAAACGTAATTTCATCACTTAAAGTTTATTTTTATTAAAAAATTTAGTATATAGTAAATTTTATGCTTTAATAATAATAATGAAAGATGTTATTAAATTTTATCATTTCAGCAATAATTAAAACAAAATTAGAGATAATTAAGCTTAATTCCATAATTTGGAATATTTTTTTGGTTAATAAATCAGGTATATAATAATTTTTATGCTTTAATAATAAAATAGAAAAATGTTAATATTTTAGGAGTTTGTTTTGATAGCGAGTTGCCACAAGTCATCAGTTGTGTCCTGACGCTGGTTGAGGGAGGTGCTGCCGCTCTTGCTCTCTCTTCTACCTTGTTTATAACACTATAATGTCGCAGGAACACTTCAATTCACATGCGAGTATCACATTTCCCTCTTTATTATCTTTCTTTGGTCACTTAACTTTAAGTTAAGTGGTGAAAGTGACCTTAAGTGTGCCTTATATAGTTGTGTTGACTTAAGGGCCTCTCAAGGTGCCCTGATGATTCTCAAGGCTCTTGATCCCAGGAACTGGAATTGTGACCTTCCCTGGATCAAACCTGATTGTTTACTAATCCATCAGGTGCTCTATGACCCCTTGCGGGTTTAGCACTTTCTCCTGGTAAAAAAAAAAAAAAACGTTATTTAATACGTGTCCCAGATGGGCTCTTGATCCCAGGAACTGGAATTGTGACCTTCCCTGGATCAAACCCGAATGTTTACTAATCCTCCAGGTGCTCTATCACCCCTTGCGGGTTTAGCACTTTCCCCTGATTACAAAAAAAATATTGATTAAAATTTTTTTTTTCCATTTTAGGCTCAATTTTATTTTTTTTTTTTACTAATTACAACTTTCTTGCATATTATATGTATATTACCTAACATTAAACCCCCTAAGAAAAGCCAAAAAATAATTTTATTGGAGTTCTTGGTTCGTACTTTTTCCACTTGGCAGCGCTGTATGACCCTTGCGGGTTTAGCGCTTATTTTGATTTGTAATAATAATGATCATTTTTCTTTATTCTTGGGTCATTAACCGGCTGATATTTCATACAGAAATGTCCATGGAGATTTCTTCCTGTTTTCGTGAATTTTCCGATAATTTATTCCCAAAAAATACTCTTGTGGGTTTAGTACTTAGTTTACATTGTAATAATAATAACTTAAGATAAGAACATAAGAACGAAGGAACACTGCAGAAGGCCTACTGGCCCATGCGAGGCAGGTCCAAGTCTCCTACCGGCTTAAGCCAATGCACCCAACCTAGTCAGGTCAGGTCACATTGACTTAAGGGAGGAACACGGCAACCGACCTGGTAGCTCAAGCTAGTCAGGTCCAACTCACACCCACCCACATCCACTCATGTATTTATCCAACCTATGTCCAGTATAAAAGTCTTATTTTTAATCGCTGTAAGTGCAATATATGCACTATAGGGGGGAAATTTTGTCGGAAAAATTGGTCGAAAACTGAACTGTACAATAATTGGACCGGACGAAAACTGGGTTCCACTGTATATGAAATAATTGGAAAGGTCCGTGGATGCGTATTTGTTTTGTGTTATTGTGGAACTTGTTGATCGAGATATTAGAGTAAATTCCCTTTAATTTGGGGTGATTTAGCCCAATTTTTTTTATAATAAACTAAATATTCACCAAGAAGTGCAGTAGGCCTACTGGCCAAGCAGTGCACTAGGCCCACTAGCCAAGCAATGCAGTAGACCCATTGGCCAAGCAGCACAGCAGGCCCACTGGCCAAATAATGCAGTAGACCCATTGGCCAAGCAGTGCAGTAGTCCCACTGGCCAAGCAGTGCAGTAGTCCCACTGGCCAAGCAGTGCAATAGACCCACTGGCCAAGCAGTGCAGTAGCCCCATTGGTCAAGCAGTGCAGTAGTCCCACTGGCCAAGCAGGGCAGTAGACCCACTGGCCAAGCAGGGCAGTAGACCCACTGGCCAAGCAGTGCAGTAGACCCACTGGCCAAGCAGTGCAGGGTTCTGGATCTCTTTCTGTAAGTTTATTTAGGCACAGGTACACACACAGTTATCATGCATAGTGCAAATTACCCATCAGGATGACCCAAAAAATTCCGACAGGTAACATTTTGTGTCTAACGTGTTCACTGATGCACAGGGCTCCGTGGGGGCTGGAGGAGATAGCATCAACACACTCTCTGGAGATCAAGAACAGCTGATTGTTGGCCTCGAGCACCACCACTACCCTTTACCTGTTATCCCAGCACTCTATACTAAGCTCTTGTTGCTGGTAAGTCATTATAGAATTTTTTTTGACACTCTGCCATCTTCCACTGAGGTTATCTGAAAAAATGAGGACACCCTTTTAATGTCACTCATTCTTGTATTCATTTACTGTTCCTTTATATGTAATAGAGATGGAATGATAGCAGAATTTTTATTAATACACTGTGTGATGTCACCGTGGTTGTTTAATATATTTATAGATGGGGTTGTAAGAGAAGTAAATGCGAGGGTCTTGGCAAGAGGCGTGGAGTTAAAAGATAAAGAATCACACACAGGGTGGGAGTTGTCACAGCTGCTCTTTGCTGATGACACTGTGCTCTTGGGAGATTCTGAAGAGAAGCTGCAGAGATTGGTGGATGAATTTGGTAGGGTGTGTAAAAGAAGAAAATTAAAGGTGAATACAGGAAAGAGTAAGGTTATGAGGATAACAAAAAGATTAGGTGATGAAAGATTGAATATCAGATTGGAGGGAGAGAGTATGGAGGAGGTGAACGTATTCAGATATTTGGGAGTGGACGTGTCAGCGGATGGGTCTATGAAAGATGAGGTGAATCATAGAATTGATGAGGGAAAAGAGTGAGTGGTGCACTTAGGAGTCTGTGGAGACAGAGAACTTTGTCCTTGGAGGCAAAGAGGGGAATGTATGAGAGTATAGTTTTTACCAACGCTCTTATATGGGTGTGAAGCATGGGTGATGAATGTTGCAGCGAGGAGAAGGCTGGAGGCAGTGGAGATGTCATGTCTGAGGGCAATGTGTGGTGTGAATATAATGCAGAGAATTCGTAGTTTGGAAGTTAGGAGGAGGTGCGGGATTTACCAAAACTGTTGTCCAGAGGGCTGAGGAAGGGTTTTTGAGGTGGTTCGGACATGTAGAGAGAATGGAGCGAAACAGAATAACTTCAAGAGTGTATCAGTCTGTAGTGGAAGGAAGGCGGGGTAGGGGTCGGCCTAGGAAGGGTTGGAGGGAGGGGGTAAGGAGGTTTTGTGTGCGAGGGGCTTGGACTTCCAGCAGGCATGCGTGAGCGTGTTTGATAGGAGTGAATGGAGACAAATGGTTTTTAATACTTGACGTGCTGTTGGAGTGTGAGCAAAGTAACATTTATGAAGGGATTCAGGGAAACCGGCAGGCCGGACTTGAGTCCTGGAGATGGGAAGTACAGTGCCTGCACTCTGAAGGAGGGGTGTTAATGTTGCAGTTTAAAAACTGTAGTGTAAAGCACCCTTCTGGCAAGACAGTGATGGAGTGAATGATGGTGAAAGTTTTTCTTTTTCGGGCCACCCTGCCTTGGTGGGAATCGGCCAGTGTGATAATAAAAAAAAAAAAACCATCAAAATCATCAGATAGGCACTGATGGCAGTACTCTGGCATACCCCAAGTGTACAGTATTGTACAGTACTATATTCAGGTGCTCCTTGATTTATGATATTTTGACTTTACATTGGTACAAAAGCAATTATTTTGGAGATAAAACTTATGATAATTACCCAACATGAAAGCAACAAGTCCATAACTTGTATTCATTTATTTACTTTTCAGTACTGGTATTTAGTTACAGTAATTATTTTTTTTTATTAACACATTGGCCATTTCCCACCAAGGCAGGGTGGCCCGAAAGAGAAAAGCTTTCATTATTCACACCATCAGTCTTGCCAGAGGCGCCCTTACACTACAGTTATAAAACTGCAACATTAACACCCCTCCTTCAGAGTGCAGACACTGTACTTCCCACCTCCAGGACTCAAGTCTGGCCTGACAGTTTCCCTGAATCCCTTCATAAATGTTACCTTGTTTATTTACTTATTCAGTAACAGTAATTATTTATTTAGTACATATTTAGCATATACATATTTATACCTGACTTATATTTTTGGGTTACGATGGGTTTGTCGGAATGTAACCCCAGTGTAAGTCAAGAAACATCTGTACAGTACTGTACAGGTTAATATCTTGAACAAAAACCAGTAAGAAAATAGAAGAAAACCCAGCTTGTACATGCATGTGTAGTCTGTCCTGAGTGTAAGTAGAAGTAGCAAGATGTATACCTGAAATCTTACATGTTAGTGAGACAGAAAAAAGACACCAGCAATCCTACCATCATGTTTAACAATTTACAGGCTTCCTTTTTACACTCGCTTGGCAGGACAGTAGTACCTCCCTGGGCAGTTGCTACTACCTAGGATTATTATTATTATTATTATTATTATTATTATTATTATTATTATTATTATTATTATTATTATTATTATTATTATTATTCAGCATCACAAAAATTACCATATTTGAAATGCCCTCAGGTTATGCTGCCAGCAGGTGGTTTTCTGGTTCCAGTATTCCATCACTCTGGCTCAGGCACAGATGCATTCTCGGTGCTCCAGTACCTCCATGTTGTCATATGGGCCTGTGTTATGGTGAGTCGTTAAGATGAGTATAAATTTCTGTTGAACTTGTCCTTCTAATGTAGTACAGATGCTCCTCACTTTACAATGGTTTGAATGTTCAGTAGCGATGCACGTTCAGTATTCATCAAATATTGATGACTATGTATTCATTCATTTATTTACTTTTCAATACTAGTATTTAGTTACAGGAATTATCAATTTATTTACTTATTCAGTGACAGTGGTTATTTATTTATTTATCATATTCATATTTGACTTGTGATATTTTCAACTTACAATGGTTCATCAGAATGTGACCCCATCATAAGTCAAGAAGCACATGTATTTTTTGCTATCTCTGCAAACCCTTCAAGGCTAGGGGTGTCTTGATGTTGGTGAATGGCTCTTGGTCCAAGGAAAGGGAATTGGGGCTATTCTTTTTTCCTTACAACAAACCTGATTTCCTGTCATACTCTCAGACCTGATTGACACAATGGATTTACTGATTCCCCCTGAATATAATAATTTAAAATACACATAAACATATGTCATGGAATATAAAAAAGTTATTTTTCAGGTTTTGACATGGTATATAAAGGCTGAACATAAGAAGTCTCGAATCTTCGGGTACCACGACTTCTACAACTTGACGAGGCACCTCCATAGAATCACATTTTATATTCTTAGTGGAGGTAAGATATGAATATGATGTAAACCTTTCATAAGTTAAGACTGAGCTTGTTGAAGAATAAGTTATAATGCCATGGCTGGAGCAATTCATAACAAAAGTTTTCTTTTTAAATTCAGTAATTTATACAGGAGAAGGGGTTACTAACACCTTGCTCTCAGCATTTTAGTTGTCTTTTGGAGGAAGAATTCTGTTCCACTTCCCCATGGAGAAAATTTGAGACACCATAATTAAATCTTTAGAATACGTTTCAGCGCTTAGGGGGTTACTGGATCACAACTGCTGAGAGTTCCCTCTACACCTGCACCTTTGCCTCTTCCTCAGTGATTTCTCTCACAGCCAGTTCTCACACAATGTGAAATAAACATTCAAATTTAAATGCTACCCATTTTTCCTTGACTTCTTTGTCAGAATTTATTTTTAATACCAGCTGTCTCCCACCAAGGTAGAGTGACTTGAAAAAAAGCAACACTTTCACCATCACTCACTCCATCATTGTTTTGCCAAACATGCACTAATACTGCAGTTCAGATGCCCCTCTAAACTGCCATATTCCTGACCCCTCCTTCACAGTGAAAGTCTTCATAAATGTTACGTTGCTTACACTCCAACAGCACATCAAAGAAACCACTTGCCTCCACTCACTCCTAACACACAAACACCTGCTGGATGTCCAAGCTCCTCACATACAAACCCTCTTTTATCCCCTCCCTCCAACCTTTCCTACGATGACCCCTACCCTGCCTTCCCATTTTTGTGGTAAAATATGCATTGTTCATATCTCTGTATTTTAACTTATGCTAATTAAAAAACAAGAAAATATAATACATGTACATAGGTAGTAGGTTGGTAGACAAGTGAGTGTAAAACGAAAGCCTGTGATTGTTTTACATGATGGTAGGATTGTTGATGTCTTTTGTCTGTCTCATAAATATGCAAGATTACAGGCATGTCTTGCTACTTTCTACTTACACTTAGGTCACACTACACATACATGTACACATTTATTTATACACACTCATCTGAGTTTTCTTTGATTTTATCTTAATAGTTCTTGGTCTTATTAATTTTCCTTTTATATCCATGGGGAAGTGGAATAAGAATCTTTCCTCCGTAAGCCATGCGTGTTGTAGAAGTCAACTAAAATGCCGGGAACAATGGGCTAGTAACCCCTTTTCCTGTAAAGATTACTTAAAAGAATAAGAAGAAGAAAATTGTCAAAATGGGAAGTCTGAATGTGCGTGGATGTTGTGCAGATGATAAGAAAGAGATGATTGTGGATGTTATGAATGAGAAGAAGCTGTATGTCCTGGCTTTAAGTGAAACAAAGCTGAAGGGGGTGGGAGAGTTTCAGTGGAGAGGAATAAATGGGATTAGGTCAGGGGTTTCAATAGAGTTAGAGCTAAAGAAGGAGTAGCAATAATGTTGAAGGATAAGCTATGGCAGGAAAAGAGGGACTATAAAAAGTATTAATTCAAGGATTATGTGGAGTAAAATAAAGATTGGATGTGAAAAGTGGGTTATAATAAGCGTGTATGCACCTGGAGAAGAGAAAAGTGTAGAGGAGAGAGAGAGATTTTGGGAAATGTTGAGTGAATGCATGGGGAGTTTTGAATCAAGTGTGAGAGTAATGGTGGTTGGGGATTTCAATGCTAAAGTGGGTAAAAATGTTATGGAGGGAGTAGTAGGTAAATTTGGGGTGCCAGGGGTAAATGTAAATGGGAAGCCTTTAATTGAGCTATGTGTAGAAAGAAATTTGGTAATAAGTAATACATATTTTATGAAAAAGAGGATAAATAAATATACAAGGTATGATGTAGCACGTAATGAAAGTAGTTTATTAATTATGTATTGGTGGATAAAAGGTTGATGGGTAGCTCCAGGATGTACATGTTTATAGAGGGGCAACTGATATATCGGATCATTATTTAGTTGTAGCTACAGTTAGAGTAAGAGGTAGATGGGAAAAGAGGAAGGTGGCAACAACAAGTAAGAGGGAATTGAAAGTGTTAAACTAAGGGAGGAGGAAGTTCGGGTGAGATAATAAGCGACTATTGGCAGAAAGGTGGGCTAGTGCAAAGATGAGTAGTGGGGGGTTGAAGAGGGTTGGAATAGTTTTAAAAAATGCAGTATTAGAATGTGGGGGCAGAAGTTTGTGGTTATAAGAGGGTGGGAGCAGGAGGAAAGAGGAGTGATTGGTGGAATGATGAAGTAAAGGGTGTGATAAAGAGAAAAAGGTAGCTTATGAGAGGTTTTTACAAAGCAGAAGTGTTATAAGAAGAGCAGAGTATATGGAGAGTAAAAGAAAGGTAAAGAGAGTGGTTGAGAGAGTGCAAAGGAGAGCAGATGATAGAGTGGGAGAGGCACTGTCAAGAATTTTAATGAAAATAAGAAAAAATTTTGGAGTGAGTTAAACAAGTTAAGAAAGCCTAGGGAAAATATGGATTTGTCAGTTAAAAACAGAGTAGGGGAGTTAGTAGATGGGGAGATGGAGGTATTGGGTAGATGGCGAGAATATTTTGAGGAAATTTTAAATGTTAAGGAAAGAAACAGAAGCAGTAATTTCATGCACTGGTCAGGGAGGTATACCATCTTTTAGGAGTGAAGAAGAGCAGAATGTAAGTGTGGGGGAGGTACTGTGAGGCATTACGTAAAATGAAAGGGGGGTTAAAGCAGCTGGAACTGATGGGATCATGACAGAAATGTTAAAGCAGGGGGGGATATAGTGTTGGAGTGGTTGGTACTTTTGTTTAATAAATGTATGAAAGAGGGAAGGTACCTAGGGATTGACAGAGAGCATGTATAGTCCCTTTATATAAAGGGAAAGGGACAAAGAGACTGTAAAAATTATAGAGGAATAAGCTTACTGAGTATACCAGGAAAAGTGTACGGTAGGGTTATAATTGAAAGAATTAGAGGTAAGACAGAATGTAGGATTGCGGATGAGCAAGGAGGTTTTAGAGTGGGTAGGGGATGTGTAGATCAGGTGTTTACATTGAAGCATATATGTGAACAGTATTTAGATAAAGATAGGGAAGTTTTATGCATTATGGATTTAGAAAAGGCATTGATAGTGGATAGAGGAGCAATGTGGCAGATGTTGCAAGTATATGGAATAGGTGGTAAGTTATTAAATGCTGTAAAGAGTTTTTATGAGGATAGTGAGGCTCAGGTTAGGGTGTGTGAAGAGAGGGAGACTACTTCCCGGTAAAAGTAGGTCTTAGACAGGGATGTGTAATGTCACCATGGTTGTTTAATATATTTATAGATGGGGTTGATAAAGGAAGTAAATGCTAGGGTGTTCGGGAGAGGGTGGGATTAAATTTTGGGGAATCAAATTCAAAATGAGAATTGACACAGTTACTTTTTGCTGATGATACTGTGCTTATGGGAGATTCTAAAGAAAAATTGCAAAGGTTAGTGGATGAGTTTGGGAATGTGTGTAAAGGTAGAAAGTTGAAAGTGAACATAGAAAAGAGTAAGGTGATGAGGGTGTCAAATGATTTAGATAAAGAAAAATTGGATATCAATTGGGGAGGAGAGTATGGAAGAAGTGAATGTTTTCAGATACTTGGGAGTTGACGTGTCGGCGGATGGATTTATGAAGGATGAGGTTAATCATAGAATTGATGAGGGAAAAAAGGTGAGTGGTGCGTTGAGGTATATGTGGAGTCAAAAAAGTTTCTATGGAGGCAAAGAAGGGAATGTATGAAAGTATAGTAGTACCAACACTCTTATATGGGTGTGAAGCTTGGGTGGTAAATGCAGCAGCGAGGAGACGGTTGGAGGCAGTGGAGATGTCCTGTTTAAGGGCAATGGTGGTGTAAATATTATGCAGAAAATTCGGAGTGTGGAAATTAGGAGAAGGTGGGGAGTTAATAAAGTATTAGTCAGAGGGCAGAAGAGGGGTTTTTTGAGGTGGTTTGGTCATTTAGAGAGAATGGATCAAAGTAGAATGACATGGAAACCCAATAATCTATAGGGGAAGGAAGGCGGGGTAGGGGTCGTCCTGGGAAAGGGTTGGAGAGAGGGGGTAAAGGGGGTTTTTGTGGGCAAGGGGCTTGGACTTCCAGCAAGCGTGCATGAGCGTGTTAGATAGGAGTGAATGGAGACGAATGGTACTTGGGACCTGACGATCTGTTGGAGTGTGAGCAGGGTAATAATTTAGTGAAAAGGGAAAATTCAGGAAAAACCCGGTTATTTTCATATTAGTCGGACTTGAGTCCTGGAAATGGGAAGTACAATGCCTGCACTTTAAAGGAGGGGTTTGGGATATTGGCAGTTTGGAGGGATATGTTGTGTATCTTTATATGTGTATGCTTCTAAACTGTTGTATTCTGAGCACCTCTGCAAAAACAGTGATAATGTGCGAGTGTGGTGAAAGTGTTGAATGATGATGAAAGTATTTTCTTTTTGGGGATTTTCTTTCTTTTTTGGGTCACCCTGCCTTGGTGGGAGACGGCCGACTTGTTGAAAAAAAAAAAGAAACTTGTGAAAATCGACACATTGTAAAATGTAAAAAAAATGGCTCTTACAAATAAGAGTTATTCTTTAAAAGTAATCTATTATGGTATTTGATGTTATAAAATGAGAGTGGGTTGGTTTTCACCTCCCTCTTTACATGAATGTACTGTACTGTAATAGTAATATACTGTACTGTAATGGTAATACAGTGGTCCCTCGTTGTTCATAATTAATCCGTTCCTGGAGCCGTTACTATAAACGAAATTTACGATTTACGAATCAATTTTCCCCATAAAAAATAATGTAAATACAATTAATCCATTCCTGACACCCAGAAGTATTAAAACAAAAAATTTTTTAACATGAACTATGCATGTAGTACATAAACAATACAATGGGAAATGATGAATGAAACATTAACAGCATAACACTTACCTTTATTGGAGATTCTTCTTAGTGTATGGGAGACTGGAGGAGGAGAGAGAGTGGATTGTTTATAGTTTGGAAGGGGAATCCCCTTCCATCAACACCTCAGGTACCATTTGCTTTTCTGGGGTTGCTTCTCTTCTCTGTTTTCTTAATGCCACTAGACCACCTTGAGAGTCATGGAGTCCTGTCTCACAAAATAACTTGGAGAGAGCTCTGTTTCTGGCGTCTCTTTAACACTTCCCTAAAATGGGCCAAGACTTTGTCACTGTACATGTTGCCAACCTGGCTTGCAACAACCTTGTTAGGGTGATGTTTCTCCATAAAGCTTTCCATCTTACCCCACATAGTAAAAATCTTTTTAATTTCTGAAGAAGGCACCTTCTTCCATCTCTCTTCCTCCTCCTCTGCAGCAAGATTCTGAGCTGCGATGTGTTGCTCTTCCTGCTGAAGCTCTTGCAGCTCCTCAGTGGTGAGCTCTTCATTGTGGTCTTCCACCAATTCTTCCACATCCTCCAAACTCACATCCAACCCCATGGAACTCCCCAGTGCCACAATTGATTTTACAACAGACTTAGGGTCAGTCCCAAATTCTTCAAAATCCCTCTTGTCGACACAATCTGGCCACAATTTTCTCCAGGCAGAGTTCAAAGTCCTGGTAGTCACTCCCTCCCAAGCCATACCTATAAGGGTTATGCAGTGGAGGATGCTGAAGTGTTCTCTCCAAAATTCCCTTAGGGTCAAGTGAGTGTCTGTGGTCACAGTCAAGCACCTGTGAAACATTGCTTTTGTGTAGAGTTTTTTAAAGTTTGCAATAACCTGCTGGTCCATGGGTTGGAGGAGAGGAGTGGTATTCGGGGGCAAGAACTTTACTGTGATGAACCCAAACTCCTCGAAAATTAGGTCATCCAAGTTTGGAGGATGAGCAGGTGCATTGTCCATTACTAGCAGGCACTTGAGATCCAATTTCTTTTCCAGGAGATACTCCTTCACACTAGGGCCAAACACTTCATTGAACCACTCGACGAAAATTTCCCTCGTGACCCATGCCTTGCTATTAGATTTCCAAAACACACACAATTTACTCTTCATAACATTGTTTTTCTGAACACTCTGGGATTTTCAGAATGGTACACTAGTAATGGCTTCACTTTGAAATCCCCACTAGCATTAGCACAGAACATTAGCGTCAGCCTGTCTTTCATAGGCTTGTGTCCTGGCATTGCCTTTTCCTCTTGTGTAATGAAGGTCCTCTTTGGCATTTTTCTTCCAAAAGAGGCCTGTTTCGTCACAATTGAACACTTGTTCAGGTTTCAGTCCTTCAGCCTCTATGTACTCCTGGAATTCATGCACATATTTTTCAGCCGCCTTGTGGTCCGAACTGGCAGCCTCACCATGCCTTACCACACTGTATGCCAGTACGGTTCTTAAATGTCTCAAACCAGCCTTTGCTGGCCTTAAATTCACTCACTTCACCACTATTTGCAGGCAATTTCTTTACCAAATCTTCATGCAAAATGCCTAGCCTTTTCACAAATAAACGAAGTCATAAGAGTATCTCCTGCTAATTGTTTCTCATTTATCCACACCAATAATAACTTCTCAACCTCTTCCAGTACTGGTGATCTCATTTTTGTCAGCATAGTTACTCCCTTTGCAACAACAGCATCCTTTATTTCATTTTTCTTGGCCACTATGGAACATAAGGTTGTGTAGGGTTTCTTATACATCCTGGACAGTTCGGCCACACTTGTACCATTTTCATATTGTTCAATGATGGTTTTCTTAAATTCAATCATATTTCTCACCTTCTTTACCACAGGCTTGGCACTAGGAGCTTTCTTTCTCACCTTCTTTACCACAGGCTTGGCACTAGGAGCTTTCTTTGGAGCCATGGTAGCTTATTTAGTACTTGCAAGCACTAAAATAAATGGAATATTATGAAATATTTCACTGGAGCACATGAGGGGACCTTCGCTCACTGGTAAACAATGCCAGACTGGCTGCCGCCCTGGCTCATGCCGTGGGTACGCGTCCCGGACGAACTACGACTCGCGAGTCAACCTATGAAAAGCGAGTCCATGTTTATACGAAAATACCTCTATGATTGGCGAATTTTATGATTGCCGGGAACTACGAAAAGCAGGGGACCACTGTATACTGTACTGTACCTTAGAAAGTATGATAGTCTTTTACTTGTCATCTCCGCTCTTCTACTCTCTCTTTACCTTCCCTTCTTGCTGATGGACCCTCCTTTAATCCTGACTCTCTCATTGACTTCTTGAGAACGACTGATTTACTCCACAAACTCTGATGATGATATCTTTCACACTCCCCTCAGCCCTTTCTACCTCAATCTCTTGCTGCCCTCTACCCTTTCACCATCCACTGCCCCGCTGTTCTCCGTAACCTTTTACTCATCCATCTCCCTTTTGCCGCCCGATACCCTCGCTTCCTTTCTGCCCTGCAGCGCTGTATAGCCCTTGTGGTTTAGTGCTTCTTTTTGATTATAATAATAATAATTGCATTTAAATCCTTGGCCACCATATAGAGAACAATTCGTGCAATAAAGTTATGTCTTTGTACATTTTTCTTCATTTCTTAACACAGTAGGAACCCCATATCTGTGGGTCCAGTATCCGCAGTTTCAGTTATCCGGAGTTTACCGTGGCTCAAAAATTACCCTTTATTTTGCTTAATAATGGCCTCAGAGTGCAAAAGTAGTGATGGTGGCAGTTGTTCATAGGCTAAGAGAAACTGTGAAGTGCTTGCCATCAGTGAAAAAATTATAATACTGCACTTATTGTGCATAATTTATCACTTAAACTTTATAATAGGTATGACTTGAGTCCTGGAAATGGGAAGTACAATGACAGACAGACAGACAGACACAGACAGAGAGAGAGACAGACAGACAGAGAGAGAGACAGACAGACAGAGAGATAGTCGCATTTAACAATATTATTTCGGTTCCAAAATTAAACTTAATGTCAAAATACTGATTAATAAGAAGACCCTCACCTCTTTTGATACGCATATAAATTTATCACTTAAACTTTATAATAGGTATGACTTGAGTCCTGGAAATGGGAAGTACAATGTCTGCACTTTAAAGGAGGGGTTTGGGATATTGGCAGTTTGGAGGTATATGTTGTGTATCTTTATATGTGTATGCTTCTAAACTGTTGTATTCTGAGCACCTCTGCAAAAACAGTGATAATGTGCGAGTGTGGTGAAAGTGTTGAATGATGATGAAAGTATTTTCTTTTTGGGGATTTTCTTTCTTTTTTGGGTCACCCTGCCTCGGTGGGAGACGACCGACTTGTTAAAAAAAAAAAAAATGTATGTATGTAAACAAAAATGACTTACATTTAGGGTTTGCTACTATCCATGGTTCGGTATCCATGGCAGGTCCTTGGATTGTATCCTCTGCGGATATGGGGGTCCTACTGTATTTCATATATTTTTAAAAAATTGCCTGAAGTGTACAAAAAATCTAAGAGATTTAGCATTCTAATGGTAAAATAATCAAATTTGTTGAAATATTTTCATTTTATTTTTATACATTATCATATAACCTTCAGATGTGCCCTTTTTTCACAGGTAATGTTATCCTAATTGTGGTGGGGAGCCTGGTGAAGGACTACTGTCTTGGAGACAGCATCTCCAGTTGTAGCTTAGAGATCTCCCTCACCCCAGTCAACTACCAGCAGATCATCTTTATTATGGAAGTCTTTTTTGCTATACCTTTTGTCATCAAGCACATAGGTAGGATTCTAACCATTAGTTTATTAAGCTGGGCAGTAGACTTACTGACCAAACAGGGCAGTAGACTTACTAACCAAACAGGGCAGTAGACTTACTAACCAAACAGGGCAGTAGACTTACTGACCAAACAGGGCAGTAGACTTACTGACCAAACAGGGCAGTAGACTTACTGACAAACAGGGCAGTAGACTTACTAACCAAACAGGGCAGTAACTTTTCTGACAAAAAAGGGCAGTAGACTTTTTCTAACCAAAAAAGGGCAGTAGACTTACTAACCAAGCAGTGCAGTAGACTTATTAACCAAACAGGGCAGTAGACTTACTGACCAAACAGGGCAGTAGACTTACTGACCAAACAGGGCAGTAGACTTACTGACCAAACAGGGCAGTAGACTTACTGACCAAACAGGGCAGTAGACTTACTAACCAAGCAGTGCGGTAGATTCACTGACCAAGCAGTGCGGTAGATTCACTGACCAAGCAGTGCAGTAGACTTACTAACCAAACAGGGCAGTAGACTTACTAACCAAACAGGGCAGTAGACTTACTAACCAAACAGGGCAGTAGACTTACTAACCAAGCAGTGCAGTAGACTTACTAACCAAGCAGTGCAGTAGATTTACTAACCAAGTAGGGCAGTACAGTAGCCTGGAATGTAACCTGCTGTATAAGTAGGGCCCAACAATAGCCCAGAACCTAACCTGCTATATAAGTGGGGCTCTGCAGTAGCCTGGAGCATAACCTGCTGTATAAGCAGGCCTTACAATAGCCCAGAACCTAACCTGCTATATAAGCAGGGCCCTACAATAGCCCAGAACCTAACCTGCTGTATAAGCAGGGCCCATGTGTACTGAAACTAGGGATACACAAAGACTGGAGACCAGGAGCATACCTCTTTTCCTTTAACCATAAATAGATTAATACTATAAACATGCAAATTTGTTCTACATGCTTTTAATAATTGCCATTACTTTTCAGTGGATGTTGTGCGATTCAACGTAGCAGCTGCTCCTCCAGACACCTTGGCAGAAGATGTTGCTTTAAGGCTCACTCATCCTGATTCCTATGTGGGAGTCAGGTGAGAAATTTTTTATCTTTTAACACCTTGGTAGATGTTAATTTAAGGTTGTCATCTTGATTCCTATGTGGGAGTCGGGGGCATTGACCCCCGAATCACCCTCCAGGTAAGGTTCAGTCGTCTAGATTCCTATGTGAGAGTCGGGGCGTTGACCCCCGAATTACCCTCCAGGTAAGATTGTCGTCTAGATTCCTATGTGAGAGTCGGGGCGTTGACCCCTGAAGCACCTTTCAGGTAAGGCTCAGTCATCCAGATCCCTATGTGGGAATCAGGAGGGAAATTTTTAATTTTAACTCTTTGTAAAATAATGTAAAATGGTTCAAAACATTTTAAGAGTGAATAATTTAACAGAACAGAAATTATATTCAGTTTTTTTTTTTATTTTAGTCCTCCCTCAAAGATGGGTGCGTTATTACCATTAAAGGGTTCTCAGTCCAAGGAATAGGAGCTATTCTCTAATTATCCAGTACAATAGTACAAATCTGTTTTAAGAAGCTATACATGATATTGGCAGTTTGGAGGGATATGTTGTGTATCTTTATACGTATATGCTTCTAAACTGTTGTGTTCTGAGCACCTCTGCAAAAACAGTGATAATGTGTGAGTGTGGTGAAAGTGTTGAATGATGATGAAAGTATTTTCTTTTTGGGGATTTTCTTTCTTTTTTTGGGTCACCCTGCCTTGGCGGGAGACGGCCGACTTGTTGAAAAAAAAAAATCATGTACATGATATTGGCGATTGTCCTTGGAGAATCACTCCAAAGCCCTCCAATAGATCAAGTTAAAACAAGTTGTCTTCAGGTTTTCATGATACAGAAAGTTGAACATTAAAATGGTATAAAATACAGACAGGTTGTTAGGTAAGACACATATGCAACAGTTAGGTATCTTTATTATGAAACGTTTCGCCTACACAGTAGGCTCCTTCAGTCAAGTACAGAAAAGTTGATAGAAGCAGAAAGTTATTAGTTTGGAAAAGCAATAAAAAGAAAAGTTGAACATTTGTATTGCTGTTTTTCATTCCAAAACTTTAATTTTTTTTTTCTCTCTCAACAAGTCGGCTGTCTCCCACCAAGGCAGGGTGACCCAAAACGAAAGAAAATCCCCAAAAAGAAAATACTTTCATCATCATTCAACACTTTCACCTCACTCGCACATAGTCACTGTTTTTGCAGAGGTGCTCAGAACACAACAGTTTAGAAGCATATACGTATAAAGATACATAACATATCCCTCCAAACTGCTAATTGGTTCTTATGTGCCTTATTATAAGTGTGAATGTATCAAAATACCACACTGAAAAAGTAATATCTAAGCGCTTTCACATGTTTACACGCATCTTTTTCTTTCTTTGTCGTGTTCATTCCCCCCCCCCCCCTCCCACCTATATTGGCTCCCTCACTTTTGTGTTAGTGGAACTTTGTAAATAGTTCAAGTTGGACCAAAATATATAGCTGCCACTTTACCCTATCTGCTGCTCTTCCCTTGGATCACACCATATTAGCTTCCATTCTAAAGGGGCTGCATGACCCTAGTGTGTTTCTCACTTCAAAATAAGCTACCTATATTATCTATGAGGAAGTGGAAAAGGAATCGTTGATCTGTAAGCCTTGCATGTCTTAAAAGGCAACTAAATTGTCGGGAGCAAGGGGCTAGTAACCCCTTCTCTTCTATAAATTATTAAATGTAAAAAGAACGAAAATTATAATATTTTTTCTTTCTTGGTCACCGTGCCTTGGTGGGAGACTACTACATTGAAAAAAATATAATATGTACTCTTGTTTTTTTACACACTGGTCGTCTCCCACCGAGGCAGGATGACCCGAAAAAGAACATTTTCATCATCATTCACACTATCAATGTCTTGATAGAGGTGCACAGATATGACAGTTTAGATGTTCCTCCAAACAGTAAATATCCCAAACCCTTCTGATGTCATCATTATTTAAAATGTTCCATTTTTTCCAGAGGTGCAAGTAATCTTGAATGTGTTCTTGAGCACCAGGCGGACCTATTGCAAGTTCTTCGTCACAGGAACTCGGTGTTGACTCGGCAAGTTTACATGCTCTCGCAGCAGATTCAGCAGGCATAAGTAACACTAATTTTCATGTCTCGTATTTTGAGGCCATGTTTTTATTGTATCTCTTAATTGTTGTTGTTGTCAAGGAATGCATAAAAACTTGATGCAGGTGATGCCAAAATATATGGAAAGAATTTTTATCGTTGTGAGACTCGTCAGGAGTTTATACTTAGTGTGTTCTGTAACACTGAATTATAAACCACTGTCTCGTGAAATCATAATAACACGATTGCAAACAAGCCACAGAATGTATGGAGTTTGAACTATGGCCTGGAGTTTTAGAACTCACTCACCATAGGTTCAAACCCCACCTGTGTTCTGTTTCTGAGAAAGACATTGAATTCTTCAGAAACAGTAATTGCTGCCCATATGCTTTACATTCTTAATTAATATTACCGGCACACAACATTACTTAATATCTGTAAATATTAAAAGATTATTGTAATATTAATAATGATTGAAAAAAAATATGTATTTTTTTAATGAATTAAATAGGTGTTGTGACTTAATATTAAACACCTGTAGCATATTTAGTGATTGAAATTTTGTCTTTGTAAAAGTTTTAGCATAAATTTTTGGAAAATATTTCTTGCGAAAATTTACCAGTAAGAACGCAGCACTGTATGACCCTTGTGGGTTTAACACTGTTTTGATTGTAATAATAATAATAGCCAGTAAGAACAGGTAAGTCACACATACAGAAAATAAAGTAATAGAATTTATTTTTTATTTATTAACATCAGACGTTTCCCACCGAGGCAGAGTGACCTGAAAAAGAAAAACTCTTTCACCATCATTCACACATAATCACTGTCTTCACAGAGGTACCCAGATGTGACAGTATAGATGTCACTCCAAACTGCCAATATCCAAATCTCTCTTAAAGTGCAGACGGTCAGATTCAAACCTAAATTTACAGATCTTTTCTACTTCATATCTTATTTTGTGTCTCATGTGTAATTTACCTGTTAATTATTGTTTGAAACTTGAAACATTGTGATAGTTTTTTTTTTTTTTAATTGTGAGATATTTTTTTTAGTAAGGAAATACAATATTCATTTCTGTTGTGTATTGCATTATGCTAAGTGTAGCATTTACTGCAGTAGTTGATTTAAGGAGAATCATATGTGGAGTATTTTAACTCATTTGTGTGCAAAATGTTTCATATTGCTTATTAGAAAATGTTAATGGAGGTAGAGAACTAAAAAGGCACAATACCATGACTGGAGCAATATACAAATAACCTGCACATAGGAGAGAGAAGATTATAACGTTGTTTTGGTCTGATTTGGACCATTTACAAGTTACACTTCCCTCCACCCTTTTGCCCCCCCCCCCTCCCCCCATCTTGGTACAGTCCATTACAGCTCAGATCTTTACTCAAACTCCTCCTCCTTCCATCTCCAATATTGTCTCCCATACGACATCTCTGAACTCCGAAACACTTGAAGCAATCTCTGAATATATTGCAGAGACTAAACCATCAATGGACACTGATCCACCCTCTGTTCCTTCTCTTTCCTCTTCTCCATCTGCGGAATTCTTCTTCACAATGCACCGTTCCTTCGCTACTTGAACGCTTTCCTTTGCCACCGCATGTGGACTTTTCAAACCCTTCTAGTCCGTAGGTACCCTTACCTGCGGATTTCAGGTATCTTTATCGTTGCCAATCATGGCCTATTTACAGTGGAATATTCGCGGCCTCAGGGGTAATCGGGGTGAGCTTCAGATGTTGCTCTCCCAGTTTTCCCCTGTTGGTGTTTGCTTACAGGAAGCAAAATTACACCCTGCCGTTATCTATCCCATCTCAGGCTATAATTTATTGTATTCTTCAGATCCTTTTCCTGATGGGACCGTTAATGAAAGTGCCCTTCTTCTACGCACTGATATTCCATACCATCAGCTATTTGTTCGTACTTCGCTGCATTACACAGCAGCCCATATCCACTTGCATAGGTGGTATACACTCTGTTCTTTGTATCTCTCTCCTTCTCGGGCATTATCTATCCCGGATATTGCTTTTCTTGTTTCGTCATTACCGCCACCACTTCTGTTACTTGGCGATTTATTTTTTTTTATTATTATTATTATTATCACACTGGCCGATTCCCACCAAGGCAGGGTGGCCCGAAAAAGAAAAACTTTCACCATCATTCACTCCATCACTGTCTTGCCAGAAGGGTGCTTTACACTACAGTTTTTAAACTGCAATATTAACACCCCTCCTTCAGAGTGCAGGCACTGTACTTCCCATCTCCAGGACTCAAGTCCGGCCTGCCAGTTTCCCTGAACCCCTTCATAAATGTTACTTTGCTCACACTCCAACAGCACGTCAAGTATTAAAAACCATTTGTCTCCATTCACTCCTATCAGACACGCTCACGCATGCCTGCTGGAAGTCCAAGCCCCTCGCACACAAAACCTCCTTTACCCCTCCCTCCAACCTTCCAAGGGCCCAAACCCCACCCCGCCTTCCTTCCACTAAAAGACTGATACACTCTTGAAGTCATTCCGTTTCGCTACATTCTCTCTACATGTCCGAACCACCTCAACAACCCTTCCTCAGCCCTCTGGACAACAGTTTTGGTAATCCCGCACCTCCTCCTAACTTCCAAACTACGAATTCTTGCATTATATTCACACCACACATTGCCACCAGACATGACATCTCCACTGCCTCCAGCCTTCTCCTCGCGCAACATTCATCACCCATGCTTCACACCCATATAAGAGCGTTGGTAAAAACTATACTCTCATACATTCCCCTCTTTGCCTTCAAGGACAAAGTTCTTTGTCTCCACAGACTCCTAAGTGCACCACTCACCCTTTTCCCCTCATCAATTCTATGATTCACCTCATCTTTCATAGCCCCATCCGCTGACATGTCCACTCCCAAATATCTGAATACATTCACCTCCTCCATACTCTCTCCCTCCAATCTGATATCCAATCTTTCATCACCTAATCTTTTTGTTATCCTCATAACCTTACTCTTTCCTGTATTCACTTTTAATTTTCTTCTTTTGCACACCCTACCAAATTCATCCACCAATCTCTGCAACTTCTCTTCAGAATCTCCCAAGACACAGTGTCATCAGCAAAGAGCAACTGTGACAACTCCCACTTTATGTGTGATTCTTTATCTTTTAACTCCACGCCTCTTGCCAAGACCCTCGCATTTACTTCTCTTACAACCCCACCTATAAATATATTAAACAACCACGGTGACATCACACATCCTTGTCTAAGGCCTACTTTTACTGGGAAATAATTTCCCTCTTTCCTACATACTCTAACTTGAGCCTCACTATCCTCGTAAAAACTCTTCACTGCTTTCAGTAACCTACCTCCTACACCATACACCTGCAACATCTGCCACATTGCCACCCTATCCACCCTGTCATACACCTTTTCCAAATCCATAAATGCCACAAAGACCTCTTTAGCCTTATCTAAATACTGTTTCACTGTAAACACCTGGTCCACACACCCCCTACCTTTCCTAAAGCCTCCTTGTTCATCTGCTCTCCTATTCTCTGTCTTACTCTTAATTCTTTCAATAATAACTCGACCACACACTTTACCAGGTATACTCAACAGACTTATTCCCCTATAATTTTTGCACTCTCTTTTGTCCCCTTTGCCTTTATACAGAGGAACTATGCATGCTCTCTGCCAATCCCTAGGTACCTTACCCTCTTCCATATATTTATTAAATAATTGCACTAACCACACCAAAACTATATCCCCACCTGCTTTTAACATTTCTATTTTTATCCCATCAATCCCGGCTGCCTTACCCCCTTTCATTTTACCTACTGCCTCACGAACTTCCCCCACACTCACAACTGGCTCTTCCTCACTCCTACAAGATGTTATTCCTCCTTGCCCTACACACGAAACCACAGCTTCCCTATCTTCATCAACGTTTAACAATTCCTCAAAATATTCCCTCCATCTTCCCAATACCTCTAACTCTCCATTTAAAAACTCTCCTCTCCTATTTTTAACTGACAAATTCATTTTTTCTCTAGGCTTCCTTAACTTGTTAATCTCACTCCAAAACATTTCCTCTGAGGGGTCTCACTGTGATTCCCGTGGCATTCAGTTAGAGGCTTTTCTTGCTACCCAACCCCTCCATGTTTTAAATACAGGTACTCACACCCATTTACTGGCTCTTACAAATAATTATTCTTTGAAAGTTATCTATTATGGTAGTTGATTTACTGTTTATCAGTGATAGTGCGTGTGAGCTGGGCTGCATAAGTGCATTAATTTACCATTAGTGATGAGTGTACTGGATTACTTTAAGGAAAATGTGGGAAGATGCTTGTAAAGTTAGACGGTTGGTAGACAGGTTTGGTAGGTTGGTAGACAACAACCACCCAGGGAGGTACTACCGTTTTGCCAAGTGAGGTCATTGAAAAAAAAAAAATGCACGTAAAGAACAAAAGGTACTATACCACGACTGGAACATTACACAGATAACCTGCACATAGGAGAAAGAAACTTATGATATTTCAGTCCAACTTGGACAATTAAGTTTCTTTCTCCTATATGTGGGTTATTTGTGTATTGTTGCAGCCACAATATTGTGCCTTTTTATTCCGGTTTCATAGATGTTAAAAGGCCTTGTTATTCTTGTGATAATTGGTTTTGAAAACCAACTTGTTGAAGATTGAGACATTTACGCAACATGTGGGAATCATTATTGAGGAGATGTTTCGCCACACAGTGGCTTCATCAGTCTAATACAAAGCAGAAAGGGGGTAAGGAGAGGGGGAGTTTGAGGTAATCAGTCCCTCAGCCTAGAATCTGTGTTCAGTCCATAACTCTTGTAGAAAGTACCATATCCTGTATTTTCAAGACTGATGGACAGAACACACAGATTCCAGGCTGAGGGACTGATTACCTCAGACTCCCCCTCTCCTTACCCCCTTTCTGCTTTGTATTGGACTGATGAAGTCAGTGTGTGGCAAAACGTCTCCTTAATAAAGATTTCCATATGTTGCATAAGTGAGGGTTTTTATCCGGAGTTTTTATAATTTAATACACATTTGCATTTTTAATACATCAGTCTTCTCCCACGAAGATACGGTGACCCAAAAAAAAATCAGTCAGCATAATTTATTGAGAGAAGTGCACAGACATCACATGGAACAGGTGGGATTTGAATCCATGGCGAGTCATAAAACTCTAGGTTCAAAACCCACCCATACTGTGGTTTGTTTGTAATCGTGTTGCGTATTACGATTTTGTGAGTCGTCACAATGCATGGTATGTGACCAATTGAATTTGGCTGCTTTATGTGTTGAAACAACTTTTTCTGCTAAAACAAGAGTGCCAATGTCAACCTGGAGGGTGTGTCGAGGTTCAACGTCCCCTGTGGCCCGGTCCTTGACCGGTGGTTGTTGTAGATCAGTGGTAGAATGTTCAGCTCAACCAAAAGAGCTGATTCAATCCTGGGCCAGGCAAGACATGTGGGTAAGTCTCCTGACACCTGCTTCCCCTGTTTGCTTAGCAGTAAATAGATGCTTGGATGTTAGTGGATGGTTGTAGGTCACATCCTGGGGAAGAGGAACACTGCTTGGCTTTATTGGGTTATACGAGGTTAATCCAAAGAAAGTTTTCTTCAGCAGTTTGTTCAGTTCTCCACACCAGCATTTAGTGATCTTGTCTTTGAGTGTATCATACACAAACAACCGCACATAGGAGAAGCTTATGACATCACTTTAGTCCGGCTCAGACCATTTAAATCGTCCAAGTTGGACGATTTAAATGGTGCTGGTTGTCTGTGTATTGTTCCAGTCATGGCATTGTGCTATTTTCTTTCGAGTGTATCATTTTGTGCATTAATATATTCCTTTTGTTGTGGTGTAAATATTTTATATTCACCTGTAGGCTTTTTTAAGGTTAAAGTTTTATTCGTGTACGAACTTTCACTTGAAAGATCATCCAATAAAAGCCTGTCTTCTGGTGTTCTCTTCACCAGGTCTGTCTTGTCTTTCTCCTCATTGCTTCACCTGATATCTCTTCTTTCTTCTCACTGTTTCACCAGATCTCTCTTCTTTCTTCTCACTGTTTCACCAGATCTCTCCTCTTTCTCCTCACTGTTTCACCAGATCTCTCCTCTTTCTCCTCACTGTTTCACCTGATCTCTTCTCCTCACGTTTCCCTATCTCCTTTCTCACCATGTTCACTTGACTCCTCTTTCTCCTCACTGTTTCACATGATCTCTCCTCTTTCTCCTCACTGTTTCACTTGATCTACCTCTTCTCCTCACTGTTTCACCATGATCTTGTCTCTCTTTCACCTCATTTTCACAGATCTTCTGCTTTTCCTCACTGTTTCACAGATCTCTCTCTTTCTCCTCACTTTTCAGCCAGATACTATTGTCTCCTTCCTGTTTCACCAATCTCTCCTTTTCCAGTTGTTCTAAGACCTGATCTCTCCTCTTTCTCCTCCTGTTGCACAGATCTTTCTTGTCTCCTCATGTTAACCAGACTTACTCTTTTCCTCACTGTTTCACCAATCTCTCTTGATATTCTCTCACTGTTCACTGGTCTGCCTCTGTCATCTCACAGATTTACTATGCTATCTTTGGGCTTCCCTCAACTGGTTTTTTTTGGCTTTCTGATTTTAAATCTTATCACTTAATAATGTCGATGACTGAAATTGTCTAAACCTTCCTTCCAAATTGTTGGCTTCAGTTGTTCTGAAGGACTTGATTTGTTGTCCTCTGTTGAAGGATTGATTTCTGTGTTCTTCTGTTGAAGGACTTGATTCTGAAATCTCTCTGTTTGAAGACATTGATTCTGGTTCTTCTGTTGAAAGACTTGAAATTTGTGTTCTCTCTGTTGAAAGACTTGATTCTGTGTTCTTCTGTTGAAAGACTTGATTCTGTGTTCTTCTGTTGAAGGACTTGATTCTGTGTTCTTCTGTTGAAGGACTTGATTCTGTGTTCTTCTGTTGAAAGACTTGATTCTGTGTTCTTCTGTTGAAAGACTTGATTCTGTGTTCTTCTGTTGAAAGACTTGATTCTGTGTTCTTCTGTTACACTCATTATTATTGTGAAGACTTATACATTATGTTAGTTCTGCCACTTAGCAATATTAAATTTTAAATGTCACTAATAATACTCAATGGATTTTAAATTATAGTACTTTAATTTGGGGACTTGTATTTTGTAATTTACCTGTAAATATTTTTTAAGATTTTTATTGAATGTAGATTTGATTGGCCCATTATTGGTTAATAAAAAATTTCTTTCAGGTATAAGAAACAGTACTCTGACAAATCTCCAAATGCATATTTTTTAACAAATAATTAAAGGCAATATGACTGTGTCTATAAGAATATATACAGTGGACCCCCACATAACGATCACCTACGAATGCGACCAATTATGTAAGTGTATTTATGTAAGTG